ACCACTGGGTACGTCATCAAACCCAATGTGGGGACTGCTGAGCCGGCCTTAGAGCAGTAAGTACCTGGGTGCCTCACGGTGCGCATCTAAGCAGTAGGTACCTGACCACCTAATCGTACACGTCTACTGGCTTTAGAAACAGTATGTACCTGAGCGCCTCACGGTACGCACCGCAGCAGTAAGTTCCTGAGTGCCTCACGGTGCACATCTTAGCAGTAGGTACCTGACCACCTAAGGGTACAGTCTACTGGCTTTAGTAACAGTATGTACCTGAGCGCTCAGGATACGCACCTAAGCAGTGGTACTGCACACCTAAGGGTAACGTCTTACTTGCTTCAGCAACATTAAGTACCTGACTCCTCAGGGTACACAATCTACGCAGTAGGTTACCTGACCACCTTTGTGATCGTACCTATCTACTGGCGTTTTAGAAGAAACCGCGCACCGCAGGCCCACTGAGTTGTTGGCCGCAGTTACTTGACGGCCGCATTCATGAGCTTTGCTGCATGGTGTTTTCGGCTAGCGGTTGGTGTCAACGGCTTTGGAGAGGATTTACTGGAACTATGGTGATGTCTGTGGACTCACCGCCTACGCTGATCAACTGTGGGCTGGAATCAGCAGATGCTGTTTTAGTGGTGACATTTACATGAAGAAAAGAGTTGGTAAAGTGTTACACTGAACTGGGGGCCAGGACAGTAGTGTGCATATTAGGAAGGTATGATGGAGCTGGATACACTGTGCTATGCACAGGGCCGTAGTGGAACACTGAGATGAAAAGGGTGTCGTGGACCACTGAAGATGCGCCTGGATTGTAAGTGTTCACTGAATAGTGTCATGTGACTGGCCACGACCGGATAAGTGTCGTGAGAGAAACAGTTTGACTTGTAATATATTTTAAATGTTACTTTATTTTATTATTTAAGCATAGTTATAATATTTATATATTTATATATATATATTATAGATATATTTATATATTTATATATAGTGAACACAGTAGTGTCAAGAAAGTTGTACCCTGTGTAGGGTTACGAATTATTTATTATTTTAGTTAGATGCTAATTATAATTTATTATAGTAACATGTACATATCATATATCATAGTTCAAATACCTCTAGACCAAAGATAGTTGATTTAAATATATTAAAGATTAATTTATTTTAATGTGTGTATTTATGTATCCCGAACTCTTTATTACAAAAGGAGTAAATCTTTAACATCTTCTTTAAAAATTACTTTTTTTGTAATAGTGTTGTTGGTGGTAGTGGTGATGATGGTGTTTTTGGTGGTAGTGGTGATGATGGTGTTTTTGGTGGTAATGGTGATGATGGTGTTGTTGGTGGTAGTGGTGATAATGGTGTTGTTGGTGGCATGGTGATGATGGACGGTTATTGTTGGTGGTAGTGTTGATGACGGTGTTTTTGGGGGTAGTGGTGATGACGGTGTTGTTGGTGGTATTGGTGTGATGATGGTTTTGTTGGTGGTAGTGTGATGATGGTGATTGTTGGTGGTAGTGGTGGATGATGGTGTTGTTGGTCGGTAGGTAGTGGGATAATGGTGTATTGGGTTGGCACTGGTGATGACGGATTGTTGGTTGGTAGTGGTGATGACGGTGTTGTTGGTGGTAGTGGTGATGACGGTGTTGTTGGTGGTACTTGTTTGATGATCGGTATTGTTGGTGGTAGTGGTGAGATGGTGTTGTTGGTTGGTATTTGGTGATGATGGTGTTGTGGGTGGGTAGTGGTGGTGATGGTGTGTTGTGTGTAGTGGTGATGATTGCTGGTGGTGGTGGTAGTGGTGTTTGTCGGTGATGTGGTGGTAGTGGTGATGATGTTGGTGGGATTGGTGGTGATGGTGTGTTGTTGGTGGTAGTGGTGATGATGGTGTTGTTGGTGGTAGTGGTGATGATGGTGTTGTTGGTGGTAGTGGTGATGACGGTGTTGTTGGTGGTAGTGGTGATGATGGTGTTGTTGGTGGTAGTGGTGATGATGGTGTTGTTGGTTGTAGTGGTGATAATGGTGTTGTTGGTGGCACTGGTGATGACGGTATTGTTGGTGGTAGTGGGACTTGTTGGTGGTTTGTTTGGTGGTGATGATGGTGTTGGTGGTAGTGGTGATGATGGTGTTGTTGGTGGTAGTGGTGATGATGGTGTTGTTGGTGGTAGTGGTGATGACGGTGTTGTTGGTGGTAGTGGTGATGATGGTGTTGTTGGTGGTAGTGGTGATGATGGTGTTGTTGGTTGTAGTGGTGATAATGGTGTTGTTGCTGGGACTGGTGATGACGGTATTGTAGGTGGTAGTGGTGATATGGTGTTGTTGGTGGTAGTGGTGATGATAGTGTTGGTAGTGGTGATGATGGTGTTGTAGGTGGTAGTGGTGATGATGGTGTTGTTGGTGGTAGTGGTGATGATGGTGTTGTTGGTAGCAGTGGTGGTGATGGTGCTGTTGGTGGTATTGGTGATGATGGTGTTGTTGGTGGTACTGGTGGTGATGGTGTTGGTGGTAGTGGTGATGATGGTGTTGTTGGTGGTAGTGGTGATGATGCTGTTGTTGGCGGTAGTGGTAGTGATGGTGATGGTGGTAGTGGAGATGGTGTTGTTAAAAGTAGGGGTGGTGATGGTGTTGTTGGTGGAAGTGGTGGTGATGGTGTTGTTGGTGGTAGTGGTTTTGATGGTGTTGTTGGTGGTAGTGGTGGTGATGGTGTTGTTG